TTTTAACTTCCTCTGGCAGCAGCAGTCACTGTAGGAGAGCTGCAGCCATAGCTGGTTTGTTTCTATGACCAGAGTTAAAAATCTGGACTCCCCATGATAAGAGCTGTACAGACTTGGACAGAAGGATGAGCCTGAGCTCAGAGGGCTGAGCTTGAAGCTGCTCTGCTTCGTCTTAAACTGGAAGTTATTTCAGTGAGGTGGAACTAAAGCTGGAGGGAAGCACTAGCTCAAGAAGACTCTTGGGACAGCTTTAGCGCTGCCCTTCCAGGCAAGTTCTGGGAGTGTGTTTAACAGGGAGAATTTGACCCAGTTGCTGCCCATCCTTTGTGAGGCAGAGGGTGAATAACCTGTTGTGTGATGGTGAAATGGCCAGAGCTGGGAGTGTCATGTCCTAGGCACGGCGCACCTGTGACGCCAACAGCGTGGGGCTGCGTTCGCGGATGCTGCTTTTAGCCGACTGTTTGGCCCAGGCTAATCCAGGTGCCTTCAAATGTCTCTCCCTTAAGTTTACTGTGTTAGATTTTTTTCTTTTTTTTTTTAATTCACCGGTACGAAGAGCTGTTGCTCTTCAGCCAGTTCACCCATATCTAGGGGTGTGTTGGTAGCTCACAGGAGGTAGGTGAGCTCCTTGTCATCTCATCTTGTTCAGGAAAAAAATAATGATCATTGAACTTTAAGGAAAAAAAAAGGTGCTGGTGAGGAAGACAGTGGACTGACCTCACCAGGCTTCCAATTCTAACTAATAAGAAGTAGGTGTGAGGAGCAGCTTTTTTGCAAACAATGCTGGGGTAGATGGGCTGCAGGGATAAGCACAGGAGTTGCTGCCCCAGGAATTGAGAAGGTTTGAAGAGAGCGCTGGGAGCTCACGGGGCAGAGCTGTTGCTGCCCTCTGCTCCTGTGCACCGGCTGGTCTGTGGGGTGTGACTGGCCTGGCAGCTGCTGGTGTGGTGAGATCTGCTCCCGAGATATCCCCAGCTCCTGCTGCAGGGCCTGGGCAGGTATCTGCTGCGCTGCTGCCCGTGTGCACCGCGGAAATGGCGATTAGTGTCACTGTTTATACTGTATTGTTTAATTATTATTTGCGTGTGCCGCCTCCTGTTTTCATCCTTGGCTTTGATTCTGTCTGCTTCTTGCCTGGAACAGGCTCTGCAGCATCTCACTCTGTTATTCTTGGGGGTCAGTGTCTTCCTTCTTGCCTTTCTCCATCCTTCTCTCATACAATCTCTTTTGCTGCCCCAGCCTTTCTCCAAAAGCATGTTCTGTGCCTTGCTTCGCTGAATAATGTTATCTTTGTAATTAAGTCAGGAATAATTTGTAATAGGGCTCCTTTGGCCAAGCATTTCCATGATGGCTTTCCAAAGCAGGTCTGAATTTTAGTGCGTAGGGCTGTGATGGCTGCAGCGTGGTGCGTGGACTCAGGACAGCTAGGCTCTTTGGGTGCATTGATATTGTAAATCTCGGCCTGTAACAATACATTCACCTGCACCTTTGTGTGCGGTTTGGTCTTGCTGTGGCTCTGCCAAGATGGTCACGCTGTTGGGGCACATGGGGTGCCTGCAGCTGTGCCACGCTGCGCTGGAGGTGACAGTACTGCTCTAGTTGTTACGCAGAGATGGCCAGTGCTGCAGGAAGGGTGCACCCCGGGGCTGTCGGCATATGTGTGTCTTTGTGGATTTGTGCTTTGTGCCACTTCTTCTGGCAAGGTGAATGGATTGTACAGCAACTTCAAGGGACGTAGCCAAGGGTGGTTACTGGATAGGTGTTGGTTCTGTCACTTGGTGTGGCCATTTTAAAGGGAAGAATGTTGGTGGGAGACAGTTGAGGACCAACAGTGTGTTGACAAGAGTAAAATAGCTTAGAAATGTAAGCTTTCTTTGCTTGATCTATGATCTTAAAGGTCTTTTCCAACCTAAATGATTCTATATGTTTCGTATTTGCCTTATGGTGAGAATTCTAGGAGGGCAGAGATACTGCTTGTGTAGCTGTCTTGTCTGTGAGAAAGCCTGCTTTCTCATGAAATACCAAAAGTTGGTGCTGAGCTTCACTTAGTGAATTGCAGAGAGTGGTGTGTTTGGTGTAGTACAAATTCAGGAGGTGGTTTTCAAGGTAGAAGTGCTTGTGTAATCCTTCTG